TCCCTTCCCTTCCCTTCCCTTCCCTTCCCTTCCCTTCCCTTCCCTCTTGTTTTTATATTTTTTATGGTTTTTATGTGTCCAGGACTGGCAGTGAGTGACTGTCACTGAGCACAAAGCTCAATATGCTGTTATATTTTTTTTCCTTTTTTTTTTTTTTTTAACATCAAAGGAAATAGGTTGTCTTCCCATTTTTCACTTGTATATAGGGTAAACTTTTTGCTGAGTGTTTGCTGCCATTCTCTCAGGCTGGCCTAATGGTGTGAGTCACTCACATTCCAGTGAGCAAGGGTTGATTCCCTGCCTAAAAGAGCTCTATAAACTAAAGCGTGTGTCAGGAGTTATCCTGATGTGTTTCTGTTCCCAAACAAATTTGTCTTTTGAGTTAGATTGTCTTGGTAAGTGCTATTCCACTAGCCCAGAAAGAGCAGGAGAGCCAAAGGGTGGCTATTGGGGTACTTGCACATTTCTCTGGTGTTTCTGCAGCAGATTTGACGTCTGACTTGTGGTCAGTTGTAAAGGACAGAACCAAAGAGGAGGCTGACAGAAGCTGTTTCCTCAGCTGCTGTGAGCTCCTGAGAGCCTCCTAAGGCTAAAGGGTCCTAAGGCAGGTCCTAAACTCCTTTGAAACCTGGTTCCGTTGTGTGTAAGGTGAGCACGATCCCTGAATTGTGCTGTGTTTTCCAGGTAGTTCTAAATCCTTGTGTAGAGCTGTGGAATCATAAATTATTTATCTTACTGAAGAATATTTCTAGAGGTCACCAGTTCTAATAGTTTCTTTCAAACAGAAGTAGGTTCACTTAGAACAGTTTGCCCCCTATAAAATCTCTGACCTTGACTATTCAAACTTCTTTACAAATGCATCATTTAATACAGGAAGCTCCTTAGGGAAGGTTCTTCACATCTGCTGTCATAATTTCTTATTTCCTAAATGCAGCAATTTATACTTGATTATTCTTACAAGGATCGTGCCTCCCTTCCCTCCCCCTGCTCTGGCACATTCCTTTGTGCTGCTGCTTCTTCTGCAGCCTGAACTGCATCTGAAAGTGTTTGAAATCCCAAATTTTCTTTGTTGTTATTCTAGCATTTCCTTACCACTCCATTCTAGGGGAGGGCATGTAGATAGGAATCTGCTCCTTTTTTTCTGAGGCTGTTTTGCTTCGGCTTGTTAGTGACAACAAATTGTCATCATCTTACAGCCATTCAGCCAGCAACAAAAACCAAGCTGAATCTTTCATTTCGGCTTCCTGAGAACAAGATTTCCCCAAACAAAAATACCCTGCCACTTCTTGGAGCACTTAACATCTGCGGTAGTTAAGCAGAGGGCTGCAGCCCAGATTTTTAAAGATGTTTAAGTGCTTGACTGCCACTAAACTGAATTGGACCTAAGTACTTGCAAATAGCTCTAAAAATTTGAGTGACTGTGAAGGCCTCCCTCATCCATCACTCTCGGCACTGGTCCCTTCAGAATGGCAGACAGGCACATCAGCATGGTCACAAAAAATACTTCTAGTCCTGCTCTCCAAAACTCTGCATATTAAGTGAATTGCTGCATTCTAGCGTGGCTTTCCATGAAATACATCTTTGAGTCAGATTGCTTGTATTCCCTAGAAGAAAAGAGCCCCTGCTTGCATGAAAGTCAATATTTAAGTCAGACAACTTTTAAAAAGGATGCAAAGTTATACTGTAAAAATACCCACCTTTATAGCTCATAATCCATTTTTTATTAAAACTGGGAAATAAGAGCAAAATTCACATTAAAATTACTTTCTGCTGTTTCTAGGGGATACTCTTTGCATTCCAGTTGGTTTCATGTTGTTTTTCCCCTACCCATTTTCCGTACTGCTGTTCTAGACTTGCATAACCTTCGGGGAAAAATTTATTCCCAAATATAAAACCTGCATGGATTTTATATTTTTTCAATATTTAGTAACATTTAACTGTGTGTTAGCCTTGGAATCACTCTGTTTTGCTGTGAATCCAGAATGCTGGGCTAGTACTGACTGAAAGGTGTTTGAAGAGGGAAGCCCTTCATATTTATGTCCTTCACCCAAGGAGTTGTGTCCTCCTCAAGGAGTTCCTTCAGTGATGCTATGAAACCAGGATCAAGTGCACAGAAAGCCTTTCACTCTTCTGTTGATGCACAGAACAGGCACTTGCAATGCTTCTCCATAATAAACATTACGAGTTAGGAAAATTTAGTTAAGCTAGTTCTTGTTCAATTAACTTGCATTTGAGGTATGTGTAGCCATGTACTCTGTTTTAAGTTTGGTGGGGGTTTTTTGAGGGAGGATGGGGAATGAAACTTCATCAGTTCCGTGGAAAAAAAAAAAAAGGAAGTAAAAGATTGTATTGGAAAAAACATTGTGGCTTGGTGCGGCTTTCTGAATGACGGTCTTGTTTTTTGGGTTTGGATTAAAAGTCTGAAATGCAGGAGCTATGTTCTGTAGCAAGTTTACTTTCACTCCAAGCTTCCCATCCCTAATTAAAGCACATTCATCAGGTTGCTGAGCTGGGAAAGTTGGCCATGTGCACTTTGAGCAATCCTTCTCCATCCCTCCACCGTCACCGGGCATCCAACGACGCCAATCGCGAGCAGGTGAAGTGCCCGACAGTGACGCTGCCTCTCTCCCATGTGCTGCAGGTGTTTGGAAGGGGGGTGTGCTGGCTGGCCCGGGGGCTGCCATGGTGCTGGCCCCCGCAGCAGGAAGATAGCAGAGATGGTGGCCTGAGGGCTCTGGCCCCGCGCGCAGACATGGCCTTCGCCCAGTCCCACATCATGGCAGCCAGGAGGCACCAGCACAGCCGGCTCATCATCGAGGTGGATGAGTACAGCTCCAACCCCACACAGGCTTTCACGTTCTACAACATTAACCAGGGACGTTTCCAGCCCCCACATGTGCAAATGTAAGTATTATAGTGCTGTTATTGCTCCAGCACAGCCTTCGGAATGGTTATTGCCTTGTCGATGTGGTATTTGATGGGCCAGTCAAAAAGAATTCAAAGAACACGGTTTTGCTGCCTTTCTAATAATATTTACTATAATGACAAGAAATCACTCCATTTGAAAAGTACTTTGTTAAAAGATGGGAGAAAGATTTCCTCACTGGTGTAAGTGTAATACATAGTACTTAGGTATTAAAAAGAGAAATAAAGAACAAGCAGTGGCAATAAAACACAAGATGCTACAAAGATGGTACTTTCTGCAATCTTAATAATGTTTGTTTGCTTTGTGCACTTGCATATTGATGTACATGGCTGCTGGAAATACCAAGCCTGGATCTGTACAGCACACATTTCTGTTTGGTTGGTTATATTACAGCTGCATACAAGGGAAAAATCATATCAATACATAAAATACTGTGAGCACCCATCCGACAACTTACTTTTCGAAAATGCCAAGTGCTTAAAGAGTAATTAAAATAATGTGTTTGTTTCTGACTTCTTATATAATGACAACATCAGTAAAATTAACTGCTCTAGATGATTTACTTGTAACGTAAAGTGGAGAATTATAATTACAAAACGAAACCTGCCATAAAGTTTAAAGCCAGAAGGAAGAACAAAATAGTAAAGCTATTACAAATAAATTAAGTATAAAATTCTACTGTAAAATATTTTTATAGGGAATAAAAATGTCTGCACCATTTTATTGTGTTTATTAAAGAGAGAAGCAGCCTTATCTTTAGATCAGATGGCTGGTTTTAATTTTTTAAAGGGAACCCTTTTCCTTTAGGAAGACTGAACAAATAGTCACCTAGTCTACATTTTTGGTGTTAAATATGATTTGATATCTTAAAAACGTAAGTCATGATTTCCGCAGTTAAAAAACTCAGCACTTGTGACTGGTTGAATTTTGTGTGCCTATTTAGTGGATGCTTCTTAGGCATAAATTAGATTATATTAAAAAAAAATCTGATGACTAACATGTATATCAAGATGGTGAGCAAACACTCGGTTTTTGGGGGCAGTATATTATAGTCTGTGTTGGGGTTTTTTAGATCCTACTGAAATGCAAACAGTAAAATGAATTGAGTGTTCGCACTGGGAAACATCTTTTGTTTATAGAGCTGGCAAATGGTAGAAAAAGTACAAACAAACAAATGTGGGTTCAGAAATACTTTTACAAATGAAAATGCCAAATGCAGGTTGCCTGATTTGTTGAGGCTTAGCTATTCTTTGTGAATATTCAGACAGCTTCTGGGCACTCAGGAATTTGTTTCCTGGTCTTAAAAGCTGAATGTTTTTCACTGGGCTGAAAATAAGTTATTTATTAGTATTCACTTGGTTCTCAACGATATGCTGTTTAAACTTCTAAGCAGTAAGAAATCATGGTACTGGCGGCTTAGGCAGTCAACTATATGATAGAGACCCAGTACCCAAGCAAGGAGTTGAAAATAAGCTATCCTTAGAAAATAGTTCCTCAGAAGAGTTTAGCAATCTCTCATGAATGATTAATACTATTGAAGAAGCTTGTGCAAATAGAAAAACAGACCAAATCAATTGAAACATGTACCACAATCTGACCTACGCTTTCTCTTTGTACAGAAATAGTAAATAATGTTTCTGAATACCAGCAGGATTGCTTTTTCTTCCTACCAGTGAATAGAATAGTAACAAAGAAGGGAAAAGTAGACATAAAAAGGGTGACAAAAGCACCTTTTATTCACATTATTGTTGTGGGTGAAATCTTAGCCCTGCTTCTGTGCATGCGAGTTTTGTCCTTAACTTCAGGGAGGTGAAGGCTTTGTGCATGGTTCAAAATATCTCCATTAGTAATGTTGCAGGCAATCATAAACATTTCACACAGACCTGTTAACATCTGAACTCACAGTAAACTACTTTAACCACGGGGTGGGGGAGAAGGGTTGTGTCATCCTTTTCTTCTGGACTCAGTCTTGCAGCTCTTCCTTGGTCTTCTGTGCAGGTTTGGGCTTCTTATTTAACATTTTAGCTCTCAGAACATGCTGACAGCCCTTTCTAGACCTGTCGTAGTCTGGCATTGACTGGGTTGCCTCTGACAAGAAGGGTGGAAAATTCTGCCAATGTTTTCAAGTCCATCAGTCATTTCTGGAAAGTGCCTGTCTCACTCCTTCCTGAAGAACAGAAATCTAGTGTATAAACTAACTTCTAGAAGTGTTTTTGCTCTGAGATGTTGTTTCTCAGCAAGTTTTTCTACTGTTATAAAGAAAAACAAAAGCATTTTCACAAAAAAAAAAAAATCAGCAGATCTGTATTCCTCAGCTCATGCTGCAAGCTGTGCATTGGGTGTTGGTGTGACAGCTGCTGTGGGAATGCGTTACACAAGAATATGGGGATTGAGCCTTCAGAAATTATTTCCAGTAATACAACTTCGATGTGTTTGCGAAACTTGACATATGTTTTTACCTATATATGGTCTCAGTGCGTGCATATCACTTCAACATGAGAAATCTGCATCTCATTTATTTGTTGGGGGTTTTTTTGTTTGGTTTTTTTGTTTTGGTTTGTTTCGTTTTTTGGTATTGATGCCCTTTTCCCATGAAAATTCTCTGGCGTATTGCAGAGGATTTAAAAGTTACACATACCTCAGCAACCAGGAAAATGCTGTCCACACCTTCCCCATCCCCATCCAAAGCATGTGCATTATGTGCTGCATGGGGTTGCTATGGTAAGTCTGCTGCTTTTTCCACACAGCTTCCTATGTGAGATGTACACTGCTCCCTAACACCCAGCTCACTGCTGTCCTGAGCTTTAAAAAAATTCTGAAGGAGAAGCACTACCTGCTTTAGAGGCTACCCTACCATGAAAAGTCAAAAACGTGGTGTTTTAGACCAGTCCAAATCCTTACGTTTGCCAAGGCAGTATCCATGATTTAAAGCTGGCTCAGCAATGCCATCTGTAACTCACTTTGGGAAGTGTTGGGCAGGGAGAGCAATAATTCAGTTTACTGGAGTGATGTTTAATCCTTTTAGCTTGAGCAGCTACAATGATAGCCAAGATCAGTCTCTCATCACTTTTACCCAACCATCCCTGTTCATTTTTTGCATCATCCTTCACACAGTTCCCACCTGAGGGCAAATCCCACCATTCCCCACCCACATTCCTTTGCATCCTTGATGCCTCCCCTGGAGCTTGCCCTGGGCAGCTCTGTCCTCCTCCAAAGCAGAGGCATTTTTAATATCTCAGCTCTTTTCCTGCATCTGCCCTTCCCCATGTGCCCTACACGAGGCATTTCCAGCTGCTCAGAGCCCAAGCACTGCACTCTTTGCCACCCAAATTTTGGAGTTCCCACTGCGTCCTTGCTTATATATGCCCCTGGCATGTAGTTCATCAGGTAGGATTTGGTCACAGCTGGATTTACTCCTCAGCTCATATTTAGCTACTTTCTGCTCAAAACCTGAACTTCAGAAAGACAACCCTTAGATGTTTGTACTAAAAGACTGCTCCTCCAGTTTTCCTTTAAAAACCCCAATATTTCTTCTTCCTATGTGGGAAAGATGGGTACAAAATAATTGTTTCACACTCTGGTTTTGTAGTTACAGTGTAGAAAATGCTAAGACCTTTTTCTGTATTTAACAAGATTTCAGTGTTTTAGATTTGTTCCTCACCCTCTCACTAATCCTGTGAAGTTGTCAAAACCACCTCAGTTTATCTGCCTATAAATTTCATAGAATTTTTTGACACAGAGAAAAGGTTGAGTGATTAAAGCTTATTATCTTACACCTTTTAAGCAATGAAATGCTTTTTGAAAATTTACCTATTAAACACAAGTAGTATTATTAAAATCAAAGATCTCTATATTTTTTTCTCTGAGTTTATTTATGTAAAAGTACGCTCCTGAATTGAAGCACAACCAGCAAGGGATAGAAATATGTACTATATACTGCAACAGTGAACAAAACTAGTTTTATTTGTTCTTTTAAAAAGAAATGTAAAAGTAAAATACTTCACAACAATTTTGTGTATCTCTCTGGTTTCTCGTGACATTAATATAACTCTTGCATCTTTTGCTTTTTGATTTTTTTCCACCAGAATTCCCTAACTGGAGTAGCAGATACAGTATAGCTGCATATAGATAGATTTGCTTCTATGTATTCGAACAAAATATGAATTGAGGTTAAAAAGATTGATTTGAAAACAAGTATTCCTTCTATTGCAGAGAGGTGTTCTCTGATTTCCTCTAGTAAATTATGAGTCTCATCATCTTTTCATTTCTTCAGTTTTGAATGTAGAGATTGGGTTCTGAACAATGCAGCCTCACCCCTCACAGCATCTGATTTCATTTAGTGTAATTAAGCCCAGAAAGTCGTCACTTTGTCCTGACAATAGCCAGGCTATAGCGAACATTTACAGCTGTTAGGAGAGTTTTTATGTTGCTTTGCATTAACACACTGAAACATATCTCCAAAATGTGTTAATTGAATTTGCTGGAATTGAGTAACTTGCAGAAAAGGAGTTATAATTAGAAAAAAAAATGTATTTAGGTATCTAAAATAAATCTTTTCCCTGTGTACAGTGTAATCATATTTAAACAATGAAATGGGATAGCACATTTCCTTTGAAACTGGCAATGCCTTTGATTTATTTGTAAGTATTTGTGTCAGAGTTACGCCAAAGTCCAATCTCTTTTCCTTAATCTCTTTAAATTAATCTATCTACCCAACTAATACTGAAAATGTTGTGATGTGAACATCAAGAATTTTTACACCTCCCATTAGTGTTAGGTTTGTTTTAATAAATCCTTCCATCAGGCAGATTTAGAAGTCTGTGCAATCTTTTGTAAAGGTAAAAAGTGGCATTAGAATTGCAAAGCAGACGCTAAGAAGTACGTAAATACTTTATAACCTTGTTATGATGCATTTCCTACAGGGTCGATCCGGTGCCCCACGACGCTCCGAAGCCTCCAGGATATACACGATTTGTCTGCATTTCTGATACTCACTCAAGAACTGATCCCATCCAAATGCCATATGGAGATGTGTTAATACATGCTGGTGATTTTACTGAGCTGGGACTTCCTAGTGAAGTAAAAAAATTCAACGAGTGGCTAGGTAGGTATTGAATTCTGTGTGGATTCGACAGTAAATTTGTTTACTGATTGTACGTGCCCCTTCTGCCTCCCAGTTAAAAACCATCATGCACTCAGAAATCATGAATATTAATTTGACTTTCAAATTTGAATGGCAGGGAGCAGGAATCAGATTTTTTTTTCCTTAGTTTCGACAAATATTTTTGCATTTTTCCAACTGAGCAAATAGGATTTGTGAGACTATTCATCTGTTCTGCCTTCACACTCTTGAGTGTACATTAAGCAACTTCTTGGTGTTAGCAACAATTGAAGTCAGGAGGCCTTTAATGATTTACATAAAACTTCTTCCCTACATTGTTACAGCTTTGCTGCCTCCCCCAAAAAGTTGTTGTGACTGAAAACATTTTTCAGTTTAACCCCAGAGGGCTCATAGGTTTGTTTTTTTTTTTATATCTGAGGCTCAGCTGCGCCACAGAGATGAATTCTGAACAAAGCAAACCGTGTGTGCCTGTGGTTGCTGCCTTGGATGTAGCAGACCAGATGTAGATGCCTTCTGTAGGCAACTTTTGGCATTGCTAACTGAAATTCTGTTCCACTGGGCAAGAGAGTGATGATTTACATGTGCTTCTGCAATGTCTTGTATATGCTAAAAAAAAAAAAAGACAGTGAAAATTGGAAAGCGTGCACTGTATCCAGACAAAAACCTTCATCAGTGCTGTTCCTGCAGCATTGCAGATACCTTAATTTAGAATAAAAGTGGCTTCTGGATTCTAAGATGTCATTAATAAAAAAAAGGTAAGAGGGAATGAAGGAGTTGGAGGGAGAAAGAACACGATTTAAGGGTAATGGATTTCAAGTTTTTGTGTTGATTTTCTTTCTTGTGGTTGATATTTTTGCATTTTTCCTGTCTTTTTTTTTTTCTACATATTGCAGCATTCTGCACTAAGAAGGCACAAAGCAGACAGATGCATGTAGGCTGAAATGGAATTTAAAAAGCAAAGTCAGGACTTCACAATTTAAACAAATATTTACTAGCAAATAATTATCAGCAAGGCTGATAAATATTTATTTGAGCTCAGGAACCCAGTAATATGCCCCACATGGAGCAATTGTTTCATTCTGTAACTCTGAAGGTAGGAACAGCATGTGGAATAATTGATATAGAGCCATCAACTCTGTCTCTGCACCCAAATGGAACAGGTTGGTTATAAAACAGCAAGTTTTGACCCTATTTTGTAGGTCTCTACCATGTATTATAGTAATGCGCTGAAAATAGCATTTACAAATTATTCAAACCATATGGTTACCCCTTCTAAATAATCCTGATTTTATTTATCTGATAGTGTGGGAAGAGAAATGCTTTGGGATATTGCTGTTGAGCAAGGATGGGGCTGTGCACATTGCTTGCTGCACAGTTTTTGTCTCCAGTTCTCCATCTGCCTCCCTGCTGGTCACAGCTGTACAGTGTTCTGAAGATGTCTGTAAGCTGAAATCCTCCCAGAATGGTAGGGAGATTTCCCAAGGCATTCTTGTGATGTTCTCTTCATCATTTTTATTCCAAAAAAAAAAGGCTTAATTTTCTGACTTTTCAGGCATGCTTCCAATTTCATGGTAGCGTGCGCTTGGGAAAAGGTGATCTTCGAGTTATATTTTTGCAAAAGCATCTTTGAGATACAGGAAGTTAGCAATTTAAAAGGTTTTTGTTTAGTTTCTTGGCAATATGAAATAAAGATTTAACTTAAATTTTTAATAAAGTTTTTGTTTGATTGTTTTAAACGAGCAGTTTATCAACTCTTGAATATATTGAGTGTTCACAAAATCTGCAGTAAATGGCAGAACAGTTAAAAGAATAGTTAAAACCATTGAGGAGGAATTTCAGAAGGTTTTTCTGGTAGCCCATTATTTTGTGAAGGCATTAGTTTCCAACAGTTTTGATTTTTCTAGATAGCTGCTTCTAGTACCTTCCATAATTTGCAATTCCATAGCCAACCCAACTTTCTCCGTCTTTCCTAATATTTTACTGGTTTCTTGAGAAAGTAACTGACAGACTCTGGCACCGACTTTTCCTCCACTGACATTCTTCCTTGCTGCTGCCAGATTTCTCTGTTTATTCCTTCATGCACAGGGCTTGCTTTCCCACTTGTTTTGTTCTTTGTCTAATCCATGTCTCCTGCTGTTGTTAGATTATGACTTTGTTTATGCCCTGCAATAAACACTGGGTTTGGTACACCTTCCCTTGATCTCAGCTTACCCTCAAGCATGAGATACAAATCCTCCTCCTGCTTCTGCTCCATGTCTTTATGCTCAGCATTGATTCCCACCTTTTAGTTTTCAGTTCTGCCATACCCTCTTGGGTCTGTGCCACTCTGGTCTCTCTCTGTTTCATCTTTCCAGATGAACTTGCCCTTCAGCAAGTTCAGATTTTATCTTTGCGCTTTACATAAAACTCCTGTGCCTGTGTGATGGAAAATTTATTTTACATTACCATCATTAACTTCCATGGGCCTTATGGTTCTATCAAGCACATGCTCAAGTGTTGTGCTAATAGAGGCACATTGGCTGGATGAGTCATCCCCTAAAATCTGTTCTCTTTTTCTGACTGCCCGTGGGTTCCCAGGAAAGCCGCTACCAGCTCGGATAACGTCGCTCACGATCCCACTGTTGTCCCTGGCTGGGGCTGGTAGCCCAGGTGCTCTCTTTTGGCTGCCCTTTAGTCATCAGGTTTTATATTTCTGACCCTTAAAGCCCTCTACTTCATTTCAGTTTATTCTTTCTGGTGATTAATTGTTTTCTGTCATGTGTCTTTTTCTCGAAGTCCTGTCTCAGGGAGAGAGTTGAGGTTTCACTAGGGCTGGCTTGGTGTCTAACTGTTGAAGAGATAAAATGTTGGTGATCACTGGATGTGCTGATTTGCTTAGCCTTCTCTGGTAGCCAGTGCAGCATTACTTTTAATTGAATATATAGATTTTTCTTCTCTGAGTTTTTAAATTACCTTTTGGGTCCGTACAAAGTTTTAGCACAGACTCAGTTTTGCAACAGAGTTCCAGAATATAACAGGGATGGTGAGATGAACTGTGCTTATTCTGAACCTGTCACCTACTAGTTTCATTTGGTATTTCCTAATACTGGAAGAGGCAAATGAAAAATTTATCATTCTTTATTCTGCTTAAGAATTTTTAGGCTCTTTCTGTATCTGCCCTTAAGATATTTTTCAGGCTGAAGATTGTTCAGAAGTCCTTAAATGCCTTTGATCATCTGTGTCACTCTTTGTACCTCTTTGTTCCATATCCTTTTAAAAAGAGTGAGACCAGAACTGCACATGTTCTGAGAGCACCACAGATTTATTCCCTGGCACAATGAAATTTCCCAGTTCTCTTTTCCTTTCAGGTGTTGTGGATTATTCTGTTTTGAACAGAACAAGGAGATGGCATTGTCATAACATTTCCTAATATAATTCCATGAAGTCTTTCCTGAATGGTAGTACCTAGTTCAGAGCCCATTGCTGCATCTACTTTGTGCATCTTTTTCCAATTTTTTTGAATTATTCTGCATAAATTTATGTTCAGTTTCATCTCTTGTTTCATCTCTTGTTGCCCAGTCTTGAAATATCATGATGCACTTTTCCAAGTGAGATTTCTATTTTGCTGACATTATTCAGGGTAACTTAGAAAATTAAGGGAAAAGGGGGTGAGTAGTCAGTTTACAAAGCATACAAATGGTGCCAACCTGCTCATTGCCCTCCCTCCTTTTCTTTTTTTTCTGAACTGACTCTTCTCCTGTTTTCATATCTGAACTTTTTCCTTTTTTATCTGTCTTGTTCTCTTACTGTATTTTACTTCCAAATTTAAAGATTCAGTTTTGGAGAATCAGGAAAAGATACAGCACAAGCTACGTTTTATGGTAGGACTGAACAGAAGGCCAAGAATCCAGTGAAACTTTCTGATGATTTATAAGAATGCATGGTATGACTTTGAACATGTGCTAACTTTCCAGCATATTCAGGATATTTTAATGCTAACACTTCAAACAGACAAAAACAATCTGCAGCTTTTTCATTCTCTTAGATTTTATTATTTATTCCCTTCTTCCCTACCTGCATATCAATCAAATGTGTAGGACAAATACAAAGACCTGTGCTCTACCTTAGTACCCTCGTCAAATTTTGACTCCAAAACCATCTCTTTTTTTTACCTCCCATATTGTTGGCACTGGAAATTGCCTGCTTGGCTCCGTTGCTCATGTAATTCCCTTTGCTCAAGCCTGTAATATAATTTCCAAATTGTGTATGCTCCAGGACCCACTGTCACTTTGAGCTCGTGGGTTACTTTCCTGGAAATTTAAGTGAGTAGCTGATCTGTGGTATAAGCTGCAACACATACTTCCATCTTTTCTCTGAGAATTCTCTTCTGTGCATGGATTGGGAAGATTACTTAAACTAACACATTTTGTAATATATATTGTTTCAGAGGGTTTGCTTGAGATTTTCCAAGACAGACTTTCTATTTGAGATTCAAGTTCAAGGTAAATTGGAAATAAAAAAATAGAAGGTGGCTTGCAGCTGTAATGGAAAACAATAATTAGCTCTTCAGAGTATTTTCCTGAAAATATTATTACATGCATGTTGTACCCACACAAACACAGACAAAAAAAGGATTACATTATTTGACACGCATTTCAGAAGTTGACCTAGGCAAATTCAGCACAAAGGATAAGATTTTTATTTCTGACTAAAAAATATTTTAGAGTGAAGATGTCTACCAACTGTAGTAACTATTATTACTAGAATTACCTGTTTCTAGGATTAGATTGTATTTGATCTAATCCTGTGGTATTAGATTCTGTAGACAGAATCAGAGATTTGTCAGTAAATATCATCTCTACTTTTTAAAGTTCTTGATAAAAGATCTTTAGAAAAAGTTGTGGTCACTAGGCTTAGCTTTACTTTTTCTTTACTGCTCAGCTTTGCAAAATAACGGCAATTTTTTTTCCTTCTCTTAACTGGTGTATTTTAAGTTCAGTAAT